AGAGGAGAGAAGGAAAGACAGGTAAAAACTTTTACCTGGTAGATGTGTGATTCAGTGGTGGCGTCGATGACGTCTCCTTTCTTCGGAATGTAGATCTTTTCAATGCCTTCCGCTTCGCAGTGTTTGCTGGAGAACACGTTGATAAATATTACCGAGGTGTTTATATTAAAAAATACTGACACTGTATGGGTGCAATTAAGACAGGCGAAGTTTAAGATGATACGCCACATTTCTGTTTGATTATAAAGGCTCTATGTACATTTGTGTCCAATGTTTATGCTTAAAATGTTAATGCGGTATCATCAAACAATAAATACAGTAAAACTGCTTAGTTTGCGTTTGTGTTACACGTGTGCCAACAGTACGCAAAGTTCCACATACTTAAACGCAGTCAGCCATTTTCGCTTTGTACGTTATGCCATAATGGAGTGTAAAAACGAACTATCGTTTTGTGCGACTACGCACTTGTAATTATTATCTATGTGGTGATGTTACATATCATCGTTAAGTCTAAAATTATTTAACTTTAGTAAATTTTCTTTTTATCGTAATATTTTTTTTGTTACAAGAAACGAAACTTCTTTTTTGGAGAACTAAGATAACACCTCGAATCGGTCGTCGTTCAGCCACTGACTGCTAGATGGCAGCACATTGAATGAAATTTCAATATAAAATCTAAACGTTGTTATTTGCAATAATAAGTTTTTCCTTTCAATGATATGCCAGCAGGGTAAACTTTAAATTATACGAACAGTCCAGAATTTATTACACCTTCTAAGTTGACTTAATTTTTTAATTATATCTAAATATAATTTGGAATTTGAAAGATTTACTTAAACAAAATAATATTTTTCTTCGCTGCATACACTGTGATTTTTTTTAAGGGATAGAATGGGGAAATATGAAACCATAGGAGATAGAGAGAAACTGTCTTAGGAACCATTAAGTAATTTTTTATGAAAAAAAAAATTTACATCATCAATGTCTTGGTCAAACACTTTTTGGTTGTCCACAAAAATGAATGATATTGTCAATTTTTTTAATGCTGATCCGTCTTAGTTTCTTATATCGGAAAAAGAAAGATCGAAATTAAGAAGAAAAATCGGGATAACAGATGTTGTCATGTCACGAATGTTGTGATGTCAAATTTAATAAATTCTTTTTTCACACAATATTTAGTAAAATGCAATGTTCTGAATTAATCAACTTCAAGTACTTAACAATTCAAAGAGTTTCATGTTGTCTGATCCCCTATTAAGAAGCAATCGTTTTCCTACAAGGCTACCACCGCTTTTTGAACAATACATACCTAAGTGTTAATAAAGATGCAGTATTAGCTCTTAGCCCAACAATAGCTCGTGGTTTCGCCTGTGACACAACACGCAGCAATGATTCACCGTCACATCTTCCTTCCAGCTCGATGTACTGGATGTTGGCCTTCACGTGGATTTGGCGTTGGACGGTGATGCATTTGCTTGGAATTTCTATCATTTCCTCTGGACAAAAACCGAGATAATAAGTTTTAAGAAAACCTTAGAACATGACACGTAGTCGAAGGGTTTGACCTACGGTCTCTCACGGAAAGGGTTGCAGGTCCGATTATGGGCTTCCATCTCAGAGATTTTAGGAATTTATGTGCCAAATTTAAAATTTACCATGACCTTTTTGCTGAACGAAAACATTGTGAGTAAACCTGGACACATCTGTAAAGCAATTTAATGATGTTTGTGAAGTTCAGCCCAAGCCCTCTCATCGTGAAAGGTGGCCTGAAACCAACAGCATAAGGAACCGAACCAATCTAATAATCGACGTTCTTATAGAAGTTGATCAAGCAAAATGGATATAGACCTGTTACGTGGGAAAATCGTCACAAGTTGATGATGGAAAATTTAATACAGGGTGTCAGCATCAAAACTGAGAAGATTGCCTGTAAGTTGGCTACATGTCCTTATTGGAGAAGAGTAGCTCTTGATAGATCAGGCACTGGAGAGATCTGGAGGAAGTCTATGCCAAAAGGCACACTTTAAGGCCCGGCACCCACTGATGGGACACGACGGGAAGAGGTTCTTAGGTGACGAATAATAATATACCTTAAGATTATGACTTTGTAGTTGCAATTTAAATGATAATGCTCGTAGATGCAATATGAAGCTGTGGTACGCTTAGAGCGAATCCTATTCGCTTCCGGAAGGCCTAGGCAGCCTTCGGGATGGTTCGGAAGGCCGAGTGCTGCTACAATAATAATAATGCGCATAGCCAGGTGTAGGGAAACTAATAATAAATCATATGTGAAGTTTACATCTAAAGATATAGATTCAGTTCTAAGAGGCATGTCGCGAGGAAAATCACCTGGGCATGATTCTCTAAGTGTAGAACACCTTAAGCACGCGGGTGTGCATCTACCCAGAGTACTTGCCATGCTATACACCTTATGTATAAGTCACTCCTATTTACCTGAAGACATGATGAAAACCCTGGTGGTACCCCTTGTAAAGAATAGAACAGGAGATGTGTCTAACGTAAACAACTACAGACCCATACCCTTGGCCACTATCCTGGCTAGAGTGTTGGACGGTGTGCTCGACAAGGAGTTGGATGAACACCTCGTTCTCAATGATGCCAATTTGGCTTTAGGTCTGGGCTCTCTACAGAGACAGCTATCCTTTGTCTGAAGCACACTGTTCAATATTACACTGCCCGTAAAACGCCCGTATATACGTGCTTTCTAGATCTTTCGAAAGCCTTCGATATGGTGTCTTATAATCGCCTGTTTCAAAAGCTGTGTGACGATACCTCGCTGCCTAGTGAGTTAATTGAACTCTTAAAACACTGGTATATTCATCAACGTAACGTGGTGAAATGGGCAGGCTCGTTATCGGAACCATACAGACTTGAGTGCGGGGTGAGGCAAGGGGGGTAACTTCCCCAAAGCTATTTAATCTTTATGTGAACGGCCTGATCGAGGAGCTTAGTAGTGCCATGGTGGGGTGTTCAATTGACGGTAACTATGTCAACAACATTAGTTATGCCGATGACATGGTGCTGCTGAGCCCCTCGATTAGTGCCCTTAGAAAATTGTTAAAAATATGTGAGAGATATGCGGAGACTCATGGCCTCAAGTATAACGCAAACAAAAGTGTAATGCTAGTGTTCAAGTCAGGTGCTAAACACTATCGTTCTGTGCCGCCAGTCACTCTCGGGGGCACTACACTTGAAACAGTGTCGGAATTTAAATACTTGGGGCACTGGGTCACCGAGTCGCTTAAAGATGATATGGACTTAGAGAGGGAACGTAGGGCGCTGGCTGTTAGAAGTAATATGTTGATCCGTAGATTTGCAAGGTGTACAGTAGAAGTGAAAGTCACCTTATTTAAAACCTACTGCCAATCATTTTATGCCTGCAATCTGTGGACGGCATTTACTCAGAAGGCATACAGCGCCCTACGTGTCCAATATAATAATGCATTCAGGATGCTGTTGGGGCTGCCGCGCTACTGCAGCGCGTCAGCAATGTTCGCAGAAGCCTTTACGGATAGCTTCCAATCCATTTTAAGAAAGTGACAAGCCTCCCTAATGCAGCGGGTGCGCGCCAGCACCAACAGCCTCCTTACTACAGTAGCAAATAGAGTTGATGGTCCTTTCAATGAACGTCTCAACTCGTTGCATGTAGTGCCCTCTAAGTGGGCTGTAAAATGAAAGTACTCGTTAATATGTACATAAGTAAATGTTATGGAATAAAGTAAACAATGTAAATTACTAACATAGTTTATAAGTCTGTTGCTAATTATATATGGATTCAGGTCCGAAATAAATGCTTATTATTATTATAGCCCCGCACTAGGGAAACCCTGTATCGCGGGTGCAATGGACACACACATAGATAACTACAAATTACACTCAAACTCACGAGATAAATAAATGTAGACCGTACAAATCTGCCGTCCACTAACTAAAAAGCGGCTAAGTAACAAAATAGAATTTTGAGATATTATTTCAAACCATAACCCAGTCTCAGAATATTCAAAATTGTTAAATGATATCTCAGCTATGCATCGTTAGGGTAAGGTCCGATTAGTTGAACGCGTTAACTTAATTGTAACTGTTTTTAAAAGTGAGTTTTGTGCTTTATTTTCTTCTGATTAAAACGGATATTTGACCATTTGTCACTTAGCCGCCTTTTAGTTAGTGGACGGCAGAAATATTCCTTTATCCATAATAGGCAATCCAGCTTGGTAACCGTTCAGCCACGGAAGCAGTTAACTTTGTGAATATGCGGGGTGAGGGGAGGCACGCACGGCAAGACTCAAGAGAGAGAGAATGCTTCGGCATGCTTAAAGACGCTTAGGTAAACCTAGGCATACCACGGCATAATTGCCATCGGTGTGTGCTTACATGTAGGAATGCCGAAGGATCCTCTGCCAAACCACCCCGTCGGTGGGCGTGGGGCCCTGAGAGATATACTATCGATAGGGAAGTAAAATTGTACGTGAAAAGTTATTTAAAGAGTCATCCAAATCATCAAGGTCATCAAAATGACCGGCATCCTATTGGGGCCGTGGTGGGTTAAAATGACCAGCACGGCGCACCTAGCTTTGCGATGCTCGTTCACGCCTCAGGTGGCAAACGCTACGTATTTAGCCACATAACATGACCGGCGTGGCCCTGATGAACTACTGTTGCCACTTGGTTTTTAGGATTTTTGATGGCATACATACTTTTCTAGACTAAGAGGAATAAGTGTATATATTTCGAATAAAAAAAAAATTACTTTAATTTGAAATTTAATTTAAAAGTTACAAATTAAGCAAAAAAAATGGTTAATGTGAAATGTAAATTTCAAATGAAAGACATACGTTAGTTTTAGGTAAACATCGATCGAGCATTACGTGTACATACTCTGCCTGGCATTGTGAACGGCGCGGCCTAAATGTAATAATTATTGCGTTTAGGCCGCGATGGGTTAAAATGCCCGGCGCAAATAATGAAATATGGCAAAAAAAATTATGCGTATACAAATGAGACCAAAAACAGTCATATAAGCCAATGTCATAGTTTGGACATTTTTGAAAATTCTACTAGGCGACGAACGTGTTAAAAGATATCGTTGCGTACTTTATACGTATGTAAAATAATTAGGATTAATTGTTAGTGTTTGGAAATATGCTGGTATCTTCACAGTATTACCATGGAGTGTGCGATGGAATTGAACGAATTCCCCATTCCCCTTTTTATCGTCGGGGGACCAGACGTAGGCTGGGGTTCCACCCCTATGTTGTGGATATATTACCACATTTTTAAATGGCGAACGGCTATGGGGTGATTATTTACTTATTTATAACTTGATTACTTATTAAAACTAGCTCCATGGTCGATAAGATGGAGGTCAAATGCGTACTTATTTTTGGATAAAAAAAGCAGACTGACTAGACAAAGTCACAAATTCATTAAAAGGGCAATGTATTCGCCTTCATAATAAGGTTCCTGTTGATATTTTGCTACTTACGAGGTTTAAAACTGTAGGGAAATAAAACGTTTAAATTATATCTTTTTTATAAAAAAAAAGAACATTGAAAGTACGTGGAATTCAATATATTTGCCAAGTTTTATTGAAATCGGTTACCGGAAAGTGCGCGAAACCGGATTCATTCCCTAATTAAGTATCTTCAGAGGTAGAACATTTTCTTTAAATTTAAATGGGACTAAACTCAGGTACCCTCATTCCAACATAATAAGAATCAACAAAATCGGTTCACAAGCAGTCGCGTAATCGCATTATATACACACACAAAAAACAACAGCCGAATTGAGAATCTCCTCCTTTTTTGAAGTCGGTGAAAAAGTACTTGGATGACAAAAATATTTGAAATAAATATTGTAAAAGATAAATGTGTACAAGTGTCCATTTACAAGGCGCAACCACAAGAGTTTTTTACTAATTCTTCTCACGCATGTTTACCTTACCTATGAGTAGTAGGGATTAATCAAATAGACGATTACAAGTGTAATTTGCTTACCTATTATTGAATAACTTGATAAAAAATAACCCTGACTAGCATTGACTTACAAATAAATGGACGACGGGTCTAATACAAAAACCACGAAAAAAATGTCCCAAGTCAACCTATTCGAAATTTAAATTGTAATGTCATCGCAGTATCGCGCTGTCAGTAGAACAAATGAAGACTAGAGCGGAGTGTCGCGCTCTGTATACGATTTTAGCGCCTTACAAGTGCAGACACTTTTTAGCGCGGACCCGACGTCCATATAATTGTAAGTCAATGCTGACTAGAATTATTTTAAGCTGCACTTTCAATTGTTTTTAGACGAATTTAAGTTTAAATACAAAGCACACGTTACATTGCTTAGAATCGAGTTGTTTTTTATTTAATGTTTAGATGTTTTTTCACATCAACACGGAGAGAAACAAAAATACTTCCAAATCGAATTACCATCAGGTTCCTGTTTCTGCGGAGGTGCTGGTGGAACGTCCCGGATTTCACCTTCTGCGTCTACTATTTCTGCTAATCTGTAGTCTTCAGGCTGAAAATATAATGGAATAATTTTAAATATACAAGTGAATATGCTAGGATTCGAACGAAGCCACTAACTTATCTAGACTCAAAAATTAAGGAATTGAGAAAACATGATTTGAAAATAAAATATGAAATTAATCGTACTGCGAATAATGGGATCGTTTTTATTTGTATATATATAACATTATATACTGTCCCTGTGAAGAGTTCGTCCAGGGAAGTACTGCCACTTCATCTATTTCTGCGGCCAAGCAGTAATGTGAGCATTTCCGGTTCCGGTTTGGAAGGGTGCTGGTGAAATTACAGGAACATGGGACTTGTCAACTTATGTCTCAGGGTGACGGGCGCAGCGGCAATGCCCCTCAGATCTTTGCGATTTAAAGCTCTGAGTGGCACTGCAATTGTTTCGGACAGGTGTGTAGCTTTCCATCAGGCGCACGACTTGTTTGTCCAATCACTTGATATTATTAAAAATATAATTATAAGAGCTACATCGCTAATGTGTTACCAGGAATATATGGCCCTTATTTCGTCTCTATTTCTGTTTATATACTCGATGGTCCCGGCAAGCAAAATGGACCGCATTAGTACGGGAAAAAATTAGATTGAAGCTGAGTTAGTACCGACTTTTAACGTAATTACCTTAATTATCTCTCCATAGTCATCGGCCCTAGTTCTCTCCTCGTGGAAGGGGTACATGGCGTGATGTCGTTTGTTGCTCTTGAAGCACCCAGTCGGACGGGTGTCGTGTCGTACCGGAATATCGTGTCGTCCCGTCACGACCCACATTTCGAGCTCGCCGTCCGAGTCAGAGTCGGAAGACACACCAGCTGTTTCTTCTCTGGAACAAAAGAGGCATTTCGACAAATCCGTAGAACAAAGGTCTATGTGCAAGGCTACTTATTCTCAGGACATAGTACATTTCGTTCGTTCTTCTTCGCCGTGAATGTCAGATCGACTGTTGTTGAATTTTATAATTTCCGAAACGAAACAAGATATATCGACCCCTCCTACGTAAAGTATCGTATGTCGAAATTGCCAAGTTTACAAGGGAGCGTTTTAAAGTTCTGAATTCACTGAAAGAGTGATCACCATAGATCATCTAACCGATATCTAGGATTTTATAATACTCTATGTGAGTAATAAGCTTTGCCGAATAAAACGTCGCATTAAAAAAGTCACGTGTTATGTTCATTTCAGTGAATTCAGAACTTTAAAACGCTTCCCTGTAAACTTGGCAATTTCGACATACGATACTTTACGTCTGAGGGGTCGATATAAATTCTCAAAACACCTTTACGTAGGCCTTAGTTTGAATAATGAAATTATTATGTAACGTATTTATTCTCTTTTCGCTATATAATCACATCGGACTCTGTTCTTCGGATGAGTCGATTTTGTTCGTGACAAGTACACTTATCGAATCAAGGTTTTGGATACAAATTTTCACCACTAGCGATGCCTTGGTTGGACGGGTAGAACCCTGGAGACTCGGAGAGCTCTTTTCGGGGCGCGACCATTACTACTTTATCGGCGACCGGTACACTTTGTCGGAAACTATTACACCTTGTCGACGACCGTTTCTATGTTATCGTTAAAAGCGTTACCACTTCGTCGGCCACCGTTATACTTGGTTGGCGGCTGTTACCATTTTGGCGGTGACCGTTATACTTCGTCGGCGGTCGGTTGTTTGCCAGTATGAATAACATAAAGAATGTAGAAATAAAAGGTTAAATGAACCAAAGGAAAGTCGAGGGCTTTCAGGTTAAAAGAAACGTTAACTCACTTGATGGTGTTGTTGACCTTCAGCCTCTGTTGCTGCAGAAATTCCTCCAGCTCTGATCCTTCGAGTCGCATCCGCTTTCGCACCGTGAGATCGATGACTCGATCACCGCCTTTCTCTATTAACTCGCGGGCTAGCGTACCGGGAGACGTTCTGGAGATTTTTACATGGATATTACGTTATCTGGCATATGTAGTGTTTTTTTAAAATAATAATAGTGTCAGACAACTATTCCAGTAATAATAATAATAATAACAACCCATACTCTCAACATAACCCCGCACTAGGAAAACCCTGTATCGCGGGTGCCATGGACACACACAGACAAATACAAATTACACCCAAACTCACCAGAGAAATAAATGGGCATACATTTATTTCCCGGCCCTGGAATCGAACCCGGGACCTCTGCGTGGCTGTCCAGCATAGTAATCGTTTGGCCCCGGAGGCAGTTAATGTAATAAGGTCACAAACTAAAAAAGTCCCTGTACTATCTATCTATACATATAACAATAAAATATACAATAATTAACACAGAAAACAGCATAGCTAATATTTAAACAAAACAACTAATTTTATTGTATAATTTAATACTAGGCTGTGGCGTAAACAAAAGCATCTCATTCAACTAAAGCCACAGCCTAGAATGGGCTGTGACGCTGGTTTTCAATGGACACTAGCGCGTGAGTGACGGACGTGGACGTGGGACGGACGTTTAGTTACTTGGCGATCGGAGCAACGTTGTCTAATATTTATTTATTTATTGGGCCACTGTGGACGTCCAATATTTGTGCGTTTCTCGTACATTAGCGAACATTTAATGATATCTTGTTAAATAAAAGAAAAACGAAAATGTAAATTACGTTAAAAATATTTTTTTTTTTTTTATCAAATATATCATCCATCAGTTCGTCCAGGAATCATTGCTACCATACCTATTTATGCCACCATGCGGTAAGTGAGCATTTGGACTTGGCACATTGTCTGATGGGCGGATGACCTTTGCAATTTCTCTGCTCTGAAGTAGGAATATTGCCACACTGCATATTATATGGCGCCAAAAAATTTATAATCATTTGCCAAAGGAGATTAGATTGATCAATCATTTTAATGAATATAAAAGACAACCGATAGCTTTTTTAGTAAATAGTACTTTTTACGAATTGACAGAATTCTTTGACAATAATTATTGAGATATATAATTCATGGATTTTTTTAAATTCTTTTGTAATTTTACTTTATTTGCAATATTTGACAATTTCATTAATCGTTATAAATAGTTGAGTTTTCATTGATTGATTGTAGTAATTAGTTTAATGACATATACGTATGTGTGCATGCCGATTATGGTAGAATAAGTTGGATTTATTTAAAATAAGATCTGCTCATAACGTACTTTTGTAATCATTGACTTACAAATAAATGGACGACGGGTCTAATACAAAAACCACGAAAAAAATGTCCCAAGTCAACCTATTTAAACGTAGTGACATGTAAAGGAATATGAAAAAGCTAAAACGTTGAATTGAAATTGTAATGTCATCGCAGTACTGTCTAATTTTGCTTGCTTCGCTGTCAGTCGAACAAACGAAGACTAGAGCGTGAATGACGCTCTGTATACGATTTTAACGCCCTATAAGTTCGGACACTTTTTAGCGCGGACCCGACGTCCATATAATTGTAAGTCAATGTTTGTAATTGATTGTTCTTATATACCATTTATTCTTATTACTTAGTTTCCGTAAGGCACATTTGGAAGACTAAGATTGAATACTGTACGATTTATACGGCTGAGTTTAATTTTTGACCTCCAAGTGGTACATTAATAGTAATTTTTAACATTAAAGTCTGTGTGAGGATTTAAAAACTTATCGTGGTTAAAATTTACGATACCTTGCAGTTAAAACGATGGAATTCTGAGGATGAGGGGCCCATAAAAGAAACAGATCCCTCGCAAAGCCAGCTTCGAGGTCAGGGCAGGAGGCCAGGACGACCTTCGGCCCTGGGGTTCTGGTTACTTCGATCACGGAGTGGCACAGCTGCAGGTGGCGTAAAGCAAACGGGTTGGAGCGAGCGCCTTCGAATGCGCGGGTCAGTTTGTCGCTCATCCACTCTATCTGAAATTTTTTTAATGTCAAAATTGACAAACGCTACGCCAAAATCTCAATTGATGTCAACCGTCTAAACAAATATTATGCTGGTCTTGAATAACTTCAAATTGTAGTTTTAAGGAAAAAGTGTAATTACACTTAACCTAATTAGGTTTTCAGATCATTAGAAAATCAGCAACGGAGCAAATCTTTCCAAAATAAAATTCAAAGTTAAATAAAATTTGTCATATAAATTTATATATATGTATATCATATCTTAAAGTTTTTCTAATTTTTTTTTGATAATAATAATTCATTGTACACAAAAAACAGGAACACATTACACGCCTCTGTTTAATGTAAAACAGATTTTGTACAACAGCATCTAAGATGGTGGCGCTACTTTCACCCCATTAGGTAGTAACGCTGTGTCTTTCAGGGGTTAAAGTTCTTCGACGCTCTATGTGAAACAAAGTGTGGTTCGAACAATGAAAACAGTTCTTTTTTAATAAAAATATAATGAAGACAAAGCAATAATAAAATTTATAGAAAAAAATAAAAAATAGATAGAAAACAAAGGGTTAAAAGTAAAAAAAAACAAAGAATTTTTAAATAAAAAAAAGAACATAATATAAAATTAAAATATGATGCGATAAACGGAAAAATGTCAAAAAATAAAATAAACAAAACGTGATGCAACTGTAAAATTCAAAGAATAAAAAAAAATGAAAAATAAATAATAGACACATGCTTGGTCACAGTATCAACTGATGCTAAGCAATGATATGACCTACGATGGTACGCGGACAAATGAATGACATACTTGCGACTTGGCGAATTCGACTACGTTGTAACTGACGTTGGAGAGCAACAGCAGCGAATAAGCCACTAATCCGGAATCCCTGTTCCGCCATAGCTGGTCCAACATGTGGGCCAGTTCGAGCACTCGACCTGCAGTGTCTGTGCAGACCAGCACGCATCCCCCACCACGCAAAGTGCTAAGGATCGTTGCTGGGGAAGACAGATAGATAAATAAATATCATAATAGCTATCATTAACCCATGACAATCGAGTGATGGGATGACGGACTACTCATATCATTAACCCATGACAATCAAGTGATTGGATGACGTGACTACTCATGTCATTAACTCATGACAATCAAGGGATTGGATGACGTGACTACTCATATCTTTAAGCCATGACAATCAAGTGATGGGATAACGTGACTACTCATATCTTTAACCCATGACAATCAAGTGATTGGATGACGTGACTACTCATGTCATTAACCCATGACAATCAAGGGATTGGATGACGTGACTACTCATATCATTAACCCATGACAATTAAGTGATGGAATGACGTGAGTACTCGTATCATTAACCCATTACAATCAAGTGATCGGTCGGCTCGCGCGACATGATCAAAATGCCAAGTTGAGTGTCGCGCTTCAGTCGAGGGGTGAATGCGCGTTCCAATAGTCATAGTGACGTCTTGTTGCCTATGCATATCTATTTTTCGATCAATTAAATTTAGAGATGTCGTTGGAGGAAATAAATTCAACGTTTTAGAAAGACCACTAATATGCAACAGTAAACATGTCGACCATAAAAATAGAAGGATTATTAATTATTATAAAAAGAAGAATAGAGATGTCATTAGTTCATAATTAGAATGTGATTCCAATTCGGCTTGATATTTGCAAGAATATAGTCAAACGTTTCCATGGTCATTCTAACGGTATCATAGAATTTATGCAGATCTTGTTTTTGGTGTTGGTAATTTCGGCGAAACTGGCCATTTTGGTTTCTTTGTAGTACGGATTCACGTCTTCTTGTGCCCATAATAACTCATACTGAATAAAGGGATAATGTACTATAAAAAGGTCATGTCACAGTATAAACATCGCGTTCACACTCCCGTTACGTCACTTTACCGCCTAAACTGAAGTGCAGGCCACACCGCGACCGAAGCTAAGCTAAGTTAGTTAATTAAGTGTTTTATTGAACGTCAGAATATTTAACCACCATGCTGTTAAATTATTTTTTTTGGGAAATTACTACACTGGTTTGTTATATATAACCCTTCGATCCGGATTCGAACCGACGTTTCGGAGCAAACAGTGCTACGCCAACTAAGCACGAAATGCTTTCAAAGATTTCTCATACATGGCGCTACGGTTAGAAAGTCATCGATAACCAAAAATATAAAGATCCGACAACAAGCACATGGAAAAATTCGTGAGGTCCGCTGGTTCGTTCCGTTGCTTAGTCGGCATTGCGTTACGGTTTGCTACGCGGCTTCGGTTCGAAGGAATTTTTTCTGAGTGTTCGATCTTTGTATTAATAATTATAAGAAACTAGTGGAGTAATTTCACATAAAAAAATTATTGAATATCAATTCAATAATAATTCAAAGTAGTATCCCCAAATCCCGGAGTTTACTCACTCATGAGCTTCTCATCTCGGAGTCTTCTTCTGGGTTGTACGTAATCCGCGTTCATCGCCCCGAGCAGCATGAGCGACGGTCTCATCAGTTTCTCTATCTCGCATCCATTAAGATGCCGTTCCTTAAAATTGTAATACAACACCATTGGTTAAATCGGTAGCCCCCATCTTTCTACATTACTTTTTTGATTATAGTGAGCCTTCCTACCGACCCTTAAGTTATATGAAAAGGACTGAAAGAATTTATGGGTAAAAGGGCAGTCAATTTCCAGTTATTAAAGATTAATTTTTCTACTTCTGTACTTTAATGGCAGTTATAATTTCCTGAACCATATCACTAAGGGTTTTTTTAAGTTTTAAATCATAATTCTATTGTCTATGGTACTCGTTACTAAACTGAAAAATTTCATTATAGCTCTGTACGTACATAGAACTAGTATTACAGTTAATATCTTGCAACTAGACCATAAACCTTTAAAAAAAAATTGGTTAAAAGTTTTTTGTTAAGTTTTGTTTTTTGGCTTTTGTTGTCATGGGTTGTTAACAAAATATACATTAAAAATTGATTGTTTCATTATTTTATTTACTTATATAAAAAGTATTGTATGCAAACGTTACATAATTAGAACCTTAAAATCTCGCACCTATTACGTATTGTTAAACACTGTAAACGACTTGAAGAATCCTCATTAACAATTTTTAAATAAAAAAATAATTGAAAAGAAAAACTAGAAGGTCAACCTAGACTACTAGACACTAGAAGGTCTAGGTTGACCTAGAGCTTATAGATTTTCTTTTCAATTATTTTTCACATTGCAAAGAATCCTGCAAAGTATAAACGGTAACACGTATTTAAAAATAGGAGATAATTGAGATATTAATTTTAAAACACATACATACACACTTTACGACTTTTTCCCATCGGGGTAGGCAGAGACGACACATATTACGATCCTAATATACATCTTTCGTCTCATCAACGCGTGTATGAAGACTGATGCAAGAGGAGATTGTACACCCGACTTGGGGAAGAACTGTATACAAAATGTTATGTATACAACACCTTATCACATATCGTATCACATTGTATGTAACACCTTTATTCTACCAGTACATACAATAAATGTTTCCGATTTCTGAGAAATCAAAAGAAGTAGGAGAACGAGAGAAAGAGAGAGAGAGAGAAAGGGGAGGCTAATAAGCAGGCAATGAATGATTCATACCTTTTTATGATTAAAATCAGGTGCATAAACTATGTCTTCTTCTCCCGGCGCAGCGATGCGCCACACGGTGCCACCGAGAGAGTGGCCAGCTGGGAGCGGCGTGATACGGAGTCCTAGACCTTTGCCTAGAATATTTAAGTACAATGATATAGACAATTTAAAAAATCATAACGACACTGGAAAGGAAAAACGACCAACAGACTATTGTTGGGCAAATGGACTTATATACTTCATGGAAGCGTTTAATAAACCCGGTTGCACTTTTTTGGTCTGTTAGACGTTTTGCAAAAGGTGTTTTTTTTTCGAATTTTGCAAAATTTTATTACAAACAAAATGTACGTTAGTTCCTTATCTGTAACGTCTTTATGTAAAAATATGATGTTAACCGTTTTTCCTGGCTGATGACCGTTTATTTTGAGTATTAACAAATTTTAGCCATAAAACATTCTAGTAGTCAAGTTTTCAATAAACAAATAAAATCAGTTATGATTTTTTTTTTCTAAAAAAAAAACTTTAAATTGTTCTCCTGTACAGTCGATATTATTATGTAAATTCATTATAAATCAGTAAGAAGCATAAAAGTAGCATTGACGGAGTGGAGATGAAGGAGGAAAATTTGTGGAATAAAGCTGAGTGACAGAGTGAAGAATACAATAATACGTGAAAGATGTGGCTTGAAAAAGGATGTAGTGACTAGAATAGAGAGAGGAATGTTGAGATGGTTTGGGCATGTAGAGTGGATAGATACATAGATGTAAGAAGAATTACCAACCAGATTTATGATGTGAATGTGGATGGAAGGGTTTTAAGAGTATGTCCCAGAAGGACTTACATTGACCAGATCAGTGATGAATGATTATATATTTATAAACCCATCTCCCCTTTTATTTTTATGCATGTGACGTGAATGTCTCATTTGTGTAGTCCCTTTTTAGATTCTCATAGTTGTCTTTTTAGATTCCCAACGGATCTCCGGCTATCCAACCGTACATAGTCACACCAACCTCATAGGTAATGCTGACACAGGGCTTTGCACACTCGACTTTCCTAGTGGACAACCAGAGCTCTATCAGCTGGATACATCCCATTCAATTTGATTGAAAATATTATTCGTAAATATTTTTTTTATGATACACATTATATGTATAGACATAAGTTAACAAGTCCCATGTGCCTCTAATTTCACCAGCACCCTTACCCTTCAAAATTGGAGCACAGTAATGCTCACATCACTACTTGGCAGCAGAAATAGGCGAGGTGCTGGTGGGAAGTACTTTAGTACTTCCCTGGACAATCTCTTTCAGGAGCTCTACTGCTACTAAATATAAATAAAAAATAGGAAACATTGTTTTAAGCTAAAATAAAGTAGACAACGATTTAATATATACTATGTAATATGTAATTAAAAATCCTCACCTTTCATATCAATGCTCTGGTTGTATTTCAATTGCACAATATGATCAAACGCTGCATCCACATCATCCAATGTAAAAAGGTCAAAGTCTGACACATTCCTATGAGCCTGGTACAGATCGTACATAAACATCTGACCCATCTTGTAGATCGGCAGCGTAGCATAGATGGGACAGTTGAGACCGAGTTTACCGACTGCATATGGTAGTGCACCGAGATGAAGAGGGTCTGAGTGCGATATTAATACTGCATCTATTGTGTTTATGTGCCTGGAATGAGTAATAATAAAAAATGTTAGTGATACTGTGTGCTTTACAAATATGCAAAGAAATGAAGGTACATAAGTGAAAAGTGAACATGGATTGGGCTGCCAATTCCAGCATTATAATAAAGACTAGAACATTAACCATCTTGGCTTCGATAAATTGTATACATTTACAAACCCAACCCTGAATTTCACAATTAAAAACTGATCAGTGTTTCAAGGACAAGATTTTGTGTATGTTCTTTATTTTCTTTAAAAAATGTATGTAAAAAAAAAATGTGATACAACAATAGGAATGTAACATAAACATATCCTTCATTGTCCATAGTCTTACTGTGTAGTCCTGCTAGTAGTACCAAGGACAATATTTTTAGTCTGTGGTTTTACCAGTAGGAGTATGGGCAAAAAACAATCATATTGTATGGGCATTGGACCTACTGATTGGGTAGTACAGTCACGTCTCAATATTAATAATGTTACTGGTTCTGACTTAACTACAAATGTTCTCTAGGATAATCCCTGTGACAGTTCATAAAATATTGCAAGATATAATCTTGTAACAACATACAAGAGATAGAAAGAAGGATAAATATTACAAAGAATAGGTAGAAAACCTCTTTTATTAGTAATATTTATCTTTCTTGAAGGAAGTTTCTCCTCCTCATGATCTTAGAGAACTATTGTAGTTAGTTCAGAACCAGTAACATTTTTAGTATTGACGGTGACTTTACTACCCGATCAGTAGGTCCAATGCCCCTACAATATAATTATTTCTTGTCTATAGTCTTACTAATAGAACCAAGGACAAAGAACATTGCCGTTGATTCTACTAGTAGGACCATGCAGAATGCCCACGGGCAATGAAACATGCAGAGAGACTACTTAACAGGGTCTCTCAATTAGGAAGTTGGTTTATATACATCTCACCCAAAATATGGAATGCCTCCTGCTGAAGAGATACACAGCCTATATCAACCATTGTCGATATTCAGATGATAATGATCACCGTGGCTATTAATTAGCTTGTGACACATCCTAGATGAATACAGTTATATAATAAATATTTATTTTTGTTATTTGATAAAAACACAGCTGCATGTTACGGACGCCATATGGTTCTAGAATGCTACAGCACCAAAATCGTTAGGGATTCTTAAGACATGTGACGGGTTAACATGCAACCCTGGGATTCAGGTTTCTAATAATTTGAGACTTATGTATTATTATTTATGAACATTGATGATCTTGTTGGAGCCCTGGGGTTTATCCCAATAGAACCAATTTGGGAAATGAACTTTTAAAATTTTTTTTTAATATATAGTAGATACACGCTTGGCCACAATCTCACCTGATGTTAACCGACGATGGGACGTGTTTGCCTAAAAAATGCCTATTGCTCTAGCCTGGAATAGCCTCAAATTGTACTTTTCGGGAAATACAGATTACCACCAGTAGAGCATTCCATTCCTTTGCCGCATGCATCAGAAAGGAGGATGTAAAGCATTTAGTACAAATAGGTGGAATATCAACAACATAAGAATGGATTGTTCCGGACCTTCTAGTCGACCGAAGGAACAGTGAGGGTGGAACCAAATTGAAAAGTTCCTGTGCACAAATTGGTTCTCGCCCGGTTGTTCTTAGTTCTGCCTCAGCATGAACTCTGTTGCTCTAGTCTACTGGCACATTATTATTATTATTGTGAAATTTGACTGTATTTTAATTATGATTTATACCGATGCACGTATTTAACCCTTTTTGTATTATTATAACTATTTTAGACTCTCGCCTCTCCCAATGCCAAAAAGGTTATTGGTATTATTATATCTATTTCAGATTCTCGCCTCTACCAAGGCCTAGAAGACTAATTTTGAATTTTTAAATGAGATAGGCGGTATTCCCCAGCAATGGCACAGTGGGCCTACGTGGCCCCTCATCACTGCGACCATTTACTGATCTATTGTGATCACCCCTAATTACAGTTCCATTTTTAGTAACTTTGTAATTTAAGTTGTAATGCCATTACAGGCATGTTAGAAAATCAATGAGGGTAAACTTGCTGCTTTAAAGTCCTCTGAAGCCGAGACATAGACACATTTGACATGTTTATAAATTTTTTTCTTCAAATAAACTTCAAATAATTTTGTTTCCACTTTGAACATAAGTTTAGCGGATAAACCATTCAAGGAAATTATAGCTGGCATAATGAAATGCATAGTAACTTTTATGTTTTGTGGTAAAGAATGAAATTAGTTGACTACACTAAATAAAGAGAACAAATATTAAATGTCTTTGCCAGAACCCTGTATATATGTCCAAAACAACCTCAAAATCACAAACCGTTTTAACTCTCTTATGAACTCCATATCAAATTTCTCGTCCCACCCGCAGTCCAACAGGAACTTAAACTCATCGACTTGCAGTACATAGCACGGTGGAGTCTCATCTCCAGCTCCTGAGAGGCAATAAAGCTTGATTATAGAGGTCATTTTCAATTACCACTCAGGTCAGTTTTTACACTAAATATAAAAACAACACGCCACGTTTAATGTTCTATTCTCATTGATTAGAACATTAAATATCCTTTATCCTTTAAGTTTTATTTAATGTTTTATACTTTGCAAAATTCCTGAAAACAAAACAGTTTGCGCGGCTCTGTTTGACAGTGAGTCACTGTCACTGTCAGTAACGTGACATTTATGGGCACAGATAAAAAAATGTTACGTTACGTTTTATTACGTTTCACTTTATATAGACATCATATTTTTTATGTGTCTCGTCTAATGATCATCTTTATAATAGATTCAGTGTAAACTGTATTTCAGTGTAATAAAATGGAAGAGCATATTTGTAACAAAATAGAAAAGCATACACTAATTTTCTTTTACTCGAAAAGTTTTCTGAATTTTCTAATTACGTATTTTTTACTGTTGTATAAGAATTACTAAATATCATTAAAAATCCATGCTTTGGGCTCCAATTCATTCGAGATAGAACAATAACTTAGAGGCTTAATTCCTTAGAGAAATTTTCAAATTTGAAGAAAATATTTCAGCTTTAAGGGTGGCAAATTAGGAGATGCATACGGTTTATTGGATTTTACCCTCATTCCGTTAACCGATTTCAATAGAATATAATACAATTCTACAAATATATGTACTACTTGGTACTTGGTGTAACGGGCTAGTGTCCGCAACTCGGCGTCAAGGCGCCTATTTTGCGTGTACAAATATATATATCTATGTAATTCGAATAAACTTTTGAGGTTTTTTGTTGTTGTATAAACGTTATTGTCTTTACCAATGATCTTGATTCAAATCTTTACATACACACAGAATAGTAACAGAGCAAAAATGTCAGTATAATAAAACTATGCAAATCTGATAAATACTATTATCTTAACGCTTTTTAATCAATAGAGTAAGATGTGCAGCCACTTCAGCAATTGTTTTTAAATTATTCGCAACAAAACCAAAACAGCAGTCTTAATGTTGTACGTTTAATTATCTAAAAACAAATCTACTACTGTAAAACTATAAAATAACTTAAATTAATTTACTAAGAATCCAAGGCTTTACAATACGATGTAAACCTATAACAATTATAAAGTTTCGCACTGAAAATTGTTTTCTTCGTTTTTCTGTTGATTAGGTCCGCCTATTTTCAATTTGTCCATTGACTGTTTGTCTTTCTCTGCAATATTATTCTTTTCTAAAGTTATTACCGCATCATCTTCACTGTCGCATAGGAGAGATTTAAAAATTCGCTTGTAGGTCGAAGTGCTCGCCTCAGGTTCAAATTTTATTTTATATAATGTTTTATTGAATGCAGAGTCAGATGAAATTAATCTTACGCCGTCAGATTTTTTCGAATCTAATTTTGTATTAGACAACGACTGCAAAATACAGTCTGAAAAATTTACGTCTGAATAACCTGTTTCTTGTATTACGGATAGCGTTTTGGGTACTCTATTATAAAATTGTCGACTTATGGGTACTTTTGTAAAATTTTCATAACGGGATGTAATTTTACTAGTAAGATACTCCATTTTAACAACAGTGTTGCTGTTTTTAGAAATAATAGAGTTTGAAAAGCTAATTTCGTCCGTTGAATTCACAGACGTCGGAGAACTGTCGCTGTCTTTGATTTCGGTAGAAACGTTTGCTTCATCATTAAACGCTCGTAGTGCCGGTTCACTGTTTGATACACTGTCAGCTGATTCAAGTAGTGCCATTGTTAGAACTCCTGGACCTAAATCAGTAATATTAATTTTGTTTTTTATATCCTGCATCTCGATAATTTCTTCGTCACAGCCTAGTAAAATCTTTGTGTGGTCCTTGTATCTGTTTGCATCGTACACTGCGTCTCGTTTTTCCTTAGAAAGTACTATTTCTGGCTTATCTATATTACTTTTAGGGCTTTCAATAACATTATTCAATACTATAGACTTGTCGCCGAAATTGTCATCGATTGATTGTGTATAAATTGTCCCGAGATGTAGATTGTAAATGTTTTCATTTGCTTTCATTTCTTCCAGGATTAGCATGTTTGAAGACGATTTAACCAGAGAGTAAATGTCAGCTGCGAATTGGGTCTTGGATTTATTCGCAGATTCAGTAACGAGAGGAGTTTGATCAAGATTTTGAACGCTACTGGTACCATCAGTCTTTTGGAGTATTGTGTTATAAGGTGAGTCGTGATCTCGAATTTTGATTTCAGCAGACAGATTATGCTTGATAGTGTCGTTAGAGCAGAAGGTAATGCCTTTGTTGAAGATACATTTCATTTTCTTTTCTTCTGCGGCACAGGTAGTTGCGGAAGAAGAGAGCCTAGGTGATCGTTGAATGGTCTTGCTGAACACGAGGGAGATACCTTTATACGACTCGTCATCCTTTTTCATTTTGCTGTCCGATTTTTTGACTTCCATGTCGATGAGTGGTGATTGGACTTGAGTACTTGCCGAATTCTTCCTGTAGAGCTGCATGTATCTCTCTTCAAATTTGTTTTCTAGAATCGGAAATTGATCACATTGTTTATCTAAGTTGAGGGACCTCAGGGTTCGAAATATATTGCTAACCAAAAGGGGTTTAAGTTTATTCAATCAGTGTTTGGTCTAAGCAAATTAGAGTTCTAAGCAAATGGTTCTGTGGTATCCCTTCTGCTATCCAAATTCCTGGTATTGAAACCCGGTAATAATGGAAAATTTACAGAGGTGTATTTAGATCTTAATGAAATAATAAAAAAAGCGAGTTAACGTTTTGAATGCCCACAGAAATATTCGTACAATTTTTGAACTCAAAAATATTACTGATATTTGATTTTTTTTTGTTCGAGCTGTTTTTTATTAAGACAGCACTGGAGCTATTATATTTATTATAATTATTACACTGACACATACCTATATTTTATATAATAATTTATATTGATTATATTTCTAAGTGTATTGGTGTATATCTATAAATTTATAAGTTGTTGATGTGATTGTTACTATAAATTAAGCTTATTTATTGTTATTTTACCTAGGCTTTAAGATGGTATAGGATTTTACAATGAAAGGAAAAAACATCTCAGGAAGAAGTAACTTTTTACCATTGAACTTTTTGACCAAGTAATGTGCTATTAATAGAAGTAAAAATACAACAACGGCAATCAGAACGTAAGTCCACCACGATATGTTCATATTCTGAAACACAGAAGCGTAATTTTATCCAAGTGGTTGTGGTTGTGGGCTTAGAGAAGATTATTATTATTTTTTTAAGCCTGTCTATAGCAGTTGCCACTAAGAGTTTTTTTTTAGTAGCAGTAGAGCTCCTTTTGTTCAGGGAAGTACTGTCACCATATCTACTTCTGCCGTCAAGCAGTAATGTGAACATTGCTGTGTTCGGATTTGAAAGGGTAATGGTGCTGGTGAAGTTACACGCACATGGAACACATCAACTTAATTCGTTGGGGGTAGTGCAAATCCGCGTCTGTAGCATTGGTAAAAGGCGTGTATCTGCGCTAAATAAAATGTCACAAAAGAATGATTCAACGTCATTACTTTGTTATTTCAATGACTACGATCATTGACTTACAAATAAATGGACGTCGGGTCCGCGCTAAAGTGTTCGAACTTACAGGGCGTTAAAATCGTATACAGGGCGTCAGTCTTAGTCTTCGTTTGTTCGAGTGACAGCGCGCCTTGTAAAAATTGCTCAACTAAAGTGAAAAAACAGGGTGGTATATCATATTTTCACTAAGTACTACATTGTGTTATCATAGTTATAATTTAAAAGTGTTACTTTATGCACTAGTATATATAGTATTTAATTTATATTTAAATTAATCGTAAATATAAATTACAAAAGCAATCAAAATAATCAAATAGCTAACTATCTCTTTCCGACTAATTGCTTGCGTAAAAGACTGAACGAGACCCATCACGTCAATTTCAATTGTTTGAAACACAAGCGTTTGACATATTTAGAACAAAAATTTCATAGAGTCGCTTTGATGCTAATGTTATCACTAAAATATTTTTTAATACATGTTAGTAATACTTTCAAATATTGTTGTACTCTTTCTACGGCTCGGGGTTACGAATCAGAAGACCGAAAATACTTTTGCATGAATTTCCATAATCCCGAAAATATTTTTTTAGGTTTTTCGGGAGAAATATATGGCCTACATTTATTTCTCTCGTGAGTTTGGGTGTAATTTGTGGTTGTCTATATGTGTGTCCATGGCACTCGCGACACAGGGTTTCCCTAATGCAGGGCAATGTTGAGTGTGTGCGTTATTATAATTATTATTATTAATTAATACCTAAGTGTTTATTTTGGAAAGCGTTTCTCTTGCGCAATCAATATCGCGCATTTTAATTTTGTAATTATCTCACAACGGCAAATACCCTACTACCGTCAGAGCCGTACTTTTTCATGCACAAGAAACATTTGCAAGAACTATGAGCAGTACGACTATGCCTGTTGACGGAATCAACAGTCGTCAGCGATAAACCGTAATAATTATATTGAATTGAAAAGTGGTGACATTTTTGAGCGCAGTATAATTTCAGTACTATGCATGAACGGGTTAAGAAAATGGTAAGAAAAGAAAGGAAACCAGAGCTGATGCAAGCTTGACAAAAGACCATAATATTAAAGCTTTGGTATGTGATTACATCAATGAGTGAACAAAAATACTGCATAATAATACAAATAGTACAACCTTGATAGCCTAATGGATTGCACTGTGGGCATTGGATGAGAAGTTCCCGGGTTCGGTACCGGTAGGATCAATTTAACAAATTAACTTTTCTAAATGGTTCTAGTCTTGGTATTCTATTGTAAGACAATTACCTGGTTAGAAACTAGGAAACTCTCTGTATATACTCCCCATGAGTATCAGAGCAACAGAATCCCATAGCAGAACCAATTTACAAAAGTTCATTTCCCAAATTGGTTCTACTGGGAATCGAACCTGGGACCAAAAACGATGGAATTTATTTCGGGGCATAACTCAGAACACCCAGGCCAAAACAACTTTCGAAAAATTCACATTTAGTTTTATAGTTGATTGAGCTGAATTTTTACGGTTTAAAAAAAAATTCTCGAATAACTCGAGAAATCGGGTACGAGAATTCTCGAAACTCAAGAAAAAAAGTCAGACACCCTAGTTTGTAATAAATGGCATTGTATAAAATTCAACATTTACGTATAAAATATATTTATAAATAATAAAGGCTACTCCAATATACTTATGTTCAAGTAGTTTTCACTAGAAGCTATATGTGGTGCATTTTGGTAAGTTTCCAGTAGAAACTGAATATGGTGTTTTTGTTTTTCCGTAAATCGCGCTAATTTGGTTGGCACGATAGTTACGCGTACTTGATTTGATCACTAATTTACACAAATGAAAACTTATAATCCAATGCTAGTTACGCGTTATTACACTATCCCCAACGGGCCCAGTGGCAGTGCCTTTTGAATCTTCGTGATTTGAAGCTCTGAGTGGTACTGCAGCTGTTAAAGACAGGCTTGACACTTACCACCAGGCGTACGAATTGTTCGTCAGGTCACTTGGTATTAGAAAAAAAAATCAAAGGTCTGAAGGGCACTGCCGCTGCGCCCCTCACCCTGAGACATAAGTTAACAAGTCCTATATGCCTGTCATTTCACCAGCATCCTTACCCTTCAAAATCGAACCGCAGTAATGCTCACATTCCTGTTTGGCGGCCGAAATAGGTAAGGTTCATTTCAATAAGGAGATCTACTGCTAGTAAATTAATTTCTGACGGAGGAATATACTTAGTAAGGCGTTAACTTGCGAGGAGAATACTTTCTTCCTATGTAAGACAAGTCAAAACAAGCGTCTGATATTCAGCGTTAGAGTCTGCACGACTTAATTCCTTTGGATCATGTGGACGGAATAAAATGGATGAAATATAATACGACTCACCACGACAAAGAAGATACGGAATTACAACTTATTTTTGTGTCAAGATATAATTATTAGCTAGTTATACTCGTACATTAAATATTGACTAACCATTGATAAGCATTTTCGGAATTATTGTGATGAAAATTTTCCTAATACTTTTCATAGGCTGACGCTTTTGACTTTTACGAAGTCAAAAATAGATTTTATTCTTTTCAAGATGCTTTTTAGCTTCTGTGCACTGTGAAGAGTTTTGTTCGCAAGAACATTTTGCTCGTAACTATGATCTTACATTTATTAAACATACCAGTACTATACAAAAAATCATCAGTAATTTATGGACCGTGCGACTTCTTTCCGGCCAAGGCCTGCAAAGTAAGTATAAGCAAATCTTAGAGGATGGAAAAAAATAGTTTCCATAGTCTAAGATGAAAATCCATTACTGACCTCTTCTGTAAACTTTTAAATCAACCTACTAATAAAGAACTATGTAAACAGACAAAAGAAAAATTCATACAGCCAACTGTCCAATCTTTGTGATAGCGAGATTTAAAAATACCTACCTACCTACATTGTTTATTTAAAAAAAAAAGAAAAGGCGGCAAAATAAACTAAAGTGCTTTGGTGTTCCTTTCTGCTTTTTCGTCATTTTTGTATTCTCGTCGAAAAAATAGTTCTAATGAGAAGAGCGATAACGGAAATATAGTCATTGATTGTGCTCAGCCTAATTTAAAACAAGAGATAATATTAGCCATGGAAAACTTGTTGCTGGCTGTGAGCAAAGGAGGATACATGAAAACTTATGAAACTTTCATGCACTGGATAACCACGTGAATCACATTATGAGAAGTTCAGCAGACTACTATAGACTACTAATATGTGCCTCGAAAAATAACAACATTTTCTTTTAGCAAATTGTCCTAACATGTCGAATATTACTTTGAATGTTTTTACTTTTTTATTATACATCTTCTTCGCTTTGGTCTTTTAGTATTTCCCTCAGATTTAATAAATGGGTCTTAGGGTCGTATTCCAGAACTCTACTCAATCCTCGAGTCATGATTTGAGTATGATTTCAAGCACTGGAAATACGACCCTAAGGGCAAGTAGGTACTTGAGTATGATTTCGAGTGCATTAAACCATACTCAAATCCTGACTTGAGTATTGCAGTGAGCGCTGAAAATCATACTCAAGTCCTTGCCATTAGAGTCGTATTTCCAGTCCTTGAAATCATACTCAAGTCTGCTCAAATCCTGACTTGAGCATTGAGTACAGTTCTGGAATACGACACTCAGAGTCGTATTCCAGAACTCTACTCAATGCTCAAGTCAGCACTTGAGTATGATTTCTAGTGCATGAAATAATACTCAAGTCTCGACTCTAAGTGTGAGGCCAGACGAGCGTAATTTTGTGAGTTGTGAGTTGCGTTTTTTGAGTTGCGCACTTTGCGCTGCATTCGGTTTCATATAAAAGTACGGTTTGTTTCACACGACGATTTCTTTTTCGAACATCGTCTTCTAATGCTTCATAAATGCATACTATTTTTAATGTATCCATTACACTATTACGACACAAACACCTCGTATAAACGCTTAAAAGCAACTGAATAGAATACGTTCGTCTGGCGCTCGAACCGAATTTCGGTCGAGCGCAAAAAACAAAACACAACTCACAAAATTACGCTCGTTTGGCCTCACACTTAGACTATTCCATCCTCTAAGGCTCAACTCACACTGGCGCAGAGTCGAAGCGTCGGGACGCGTCATATTTTTCGCCTATAGTATATTCATCTCAATTTTCCCGTTATTAAGGAACAAACTTGTGTTATGCAAATAAGGAAACGAGGGTCTTCACTTGAGCGCAGTGAGGCGTCAGACGCCGACCACATTGTGATCCGGGCCCACTAATGCGAGCATCGTCGCGCGTCGCCAAGCGTTGTAGTTGAATAACAGGACGCGACGCGACGCTTCGACTCTGCGCTATTTGGGGGTTGAGCCTTAAGATATGGGTATCTACATTACTAAATCTATGGTATTTTCTCACATTGTTTGAGAAATTGTCTATTTTCCATCTAAAAGATCATTCATGTCTATGGTGTGGCGTGATTACACCATAGGCATCAATGATCGTGCGATATTTGCGATTCCATTTTCCCGCTTCAGGTAGCATATTAATTTAAAAACTCGCGTCTACGCCGTAGCACGTAGCTATCCGTAGCAAAACGTTATGTACAACAAACATAATGTTTACTTAATTAAATGTGCATGCAATATAGTTAATACTCCAGACATAGAAAGTAACATTAGCGCTCGTTAAAACGCTGTATTTACTCGGCAAACCTTTAAAATCGCGTTTTAGTTGCTTGTAAGGGTGTAATGAAGACTTCAAGTGTGCTAGAGTGCGAGAAACACTCGTTTAGGATGTATCGTTCATGTAACAACAGCATTGTTTATAAAGAAAAGTTTTAGGAAGATATCCACCTAGGTTAACACGTATAGTATTTTTTTTTATAATACTAAATGATGGGACGAACAAGTAGTGCGCCTTGTGGTATGCGACACGCCTATTCATAACAGTTGCAGTGGTTTAAATCAAAAGTGCATTGTCACTGCACCCGTCACCTTGAGACATAAGTTTACAAATCCCATGTGCCTGTAATTTCACCAGCACCCTTACACTTCCAAACAGGAACGCAGTAGTGCTCACAGTACTGCTTGGTGGCAGAAATAGGTAAGGTGGCAGTACTTCTCTGGACAAACTTTCTTTACAAGGAGCTCTAATGCTACTAAAAGTATCCGTATCAGGCTATTTCCATAGTATAATGTGACAAATAGCGATGCGCGACTTTGAATGCCATTAATACTAATCATTAGAATAGGCAAATCATTCGTCTAAGTGGAATCCAAGCACAATCTTTCGGACTCGAGTTGGGTGCACGATTGGAATGATTATTATGTCAGAACTACTTGGAACTCCACCAGATAATTCGCCATGTTCATATCAAAATATCCCTGTCTCCGTCAAATTTACGGTATTTACCATATGTCAAAGAGGGCTAGGCGGGAATGCTCTACGGAATCTATGGATTACTAATACTAAGTAGTAATGGATAATCGATCATAGGTACATAGCGCTAATATCAAATCATTTATTCCATAGGTAAAATAAATTTACACTTAAAAATGTCACATTTAAGCTACTGCTCGAGAGAACGAGCAAGAAACTATAGGGATTGCTCTTTTCATTTAAACTTAAATGCTATGGAATACATTTTGAATCACATTTGTGTGGAATCTAGAGCCATGTTCTTTTTCCATACATCTTTATTTAACACGTAGTCTTCAATTTTGTAATATGACTTTTCAATTAAAATATTTTTAATGTAGTAGTAGTAGTAGTTTTAGTCTAAACTTATGAAATGATAATCTTAATATATGCTCCGCAATCTTACTGTAAAAACGTATACAGTTCCCCATTAAGGAGTCATTTACCTTCGTTAAACAAAATCGTGGTACCATGAGTTTGGACTTAGCTCTAAGGTTAACATTATGGATAGCTTCTTTTTTAATGAAATTACGCTTATTTTTATGGGCATATATAATATTTGAGTGAATGTACTGTGATGCCAGTCATGATCCAGTTTTTTCCTTAAACTTTTCTCTAAGAGAAACCCGAGAACCTAAACGGTACACAGGCGAATCGTTCGTTTTTGCAACACAAATATGGTTTGAATGTTTGCCGCTATGCCCCACATGGGAATCCCGTAGGACGTTAGGAATTACACTATTATACTATTCTTGGGAATTTGACGGAAAGTTATTTTTTAAAAAAACAACGTAACACAAAAACTTTAATTTTATAACGGAAAAACAGTTAACAAAAATTGTATTTTATACTATTCGGTTCGGCGGCGGTCGGGCTCTCTCCAACACTGCCTCTCCTGACAAGAGACCGTCCCCGGGCTCCCTTGATGTTCCTTTAACTTTGTTGGTCAGTTTCCAGCAGCGGTATGGAAAGTTCCAGCCCCGGCGCGCCGTCGGCAGAGGATACGTTTGCCTGTAGCTCATTAGCAACCGGCATTTCGGCTATGCTGAGTGGTGATCTATCAGCCACACCTGTGTTGCACTACATAACAGGTGGTCACCCAGTCTTCTTATCCCTGAAGTACTGGGCTGCGGCTCATGCGATGACAGCGCGGAAGCTCCAGATAGCAACCCGTCAACTGACGAGTGTAGCTCAGCGGCAATAGACGCAAACTCCTGGTCCTCATTGTCTGCATCTACACAGAACACCAACAAACATGTGCAAGCAAAAGCATTTATAAGGCAAAGTAAACATCGAGTAAGAGGCGCAGCGTGAAGCATAATTCGATTGACCGCTTATTTCAAGGCACGTCGTGAAGCATAACTTGGGAAAATATGAGATTGAATGTAAAAGGCGATGTAAGGCGTATCTCGATAGACGGCTAAGTCGGAGGCACGACGTGAAGCGCAACTTAGCAAAACCTTAAGACAGAATCACTACGTGAAATATGTCTTACCTACATATAATGAGGTAGAGGCACGACGTGAAGCATACCTCGATAAAGAAGCTAGAGGCACAACGTGAAGCACAGCTCAGCACAGTCTTAAGACAGACGCCCTATGTGAAGCATATCTCAACTACGATTGAAGGGAAAGAGGCAATACGTGAAGCTTATCCGAAACAACCATAAAGTCAGGCATCTCACCATTAAAGTAAGCAGCACATACTTTAGAAGTCCACTCTCCACGCCATGGAATCATATACTCCGCCGCCGCTTGTGCCGACTTCCCGTAGGAGCCAGGCAGGAGCTGTAGCTCGTGACGCCCTTGTGGTAATGTCTTCACAACACGGTATGGACCGCGCATGCGAGACTCCAGCTTCCCTGTTGACTGAGCTTGCTTTCTAACAAAAACCAGCGCATCGCGTGAGCAGATAAGCACCCAGTTCTGCGGTTTCTGAACAGTACACGCATTGACTGGATTACGACTTAAGTAGTCGGCATGTGACGTGTGTGTACCTTTGCGGTAGTCCAGAGCAAAATCAAAATCTTGAAGATATAGCCACCACCGGTCCACCCTGGGTAATAAATCTTTCTTGCGCTGAGTAAATCTCAACGCATTACAGTCGGTGACCACAGTGAAGTGTA